AGGCTACAATTGTTGCACTTTTATGGACTTCTCCATACCTTTCTTTTGCCTTCAAGGCTGCTCTTTTGAACTGCAGACCACTGGGGTGTTCAAGAAAGTATGAACTATCCACTAAATCATTCCTTTATGAAATTGCTAAACTCGAGTGAAGAAACACCTAATACAGTTTGGCTTGGGGGTAATTAGGAACAATTATTTCAACAACAGGAATCTTTTACTCATGAGTTGAGTCTATTTTTGAAAAACCCAACAAATCACCTTTCTCACCTAAGGTGAGTAGTACTGGATACCTCACTCTCTTCTTCCCATATTGAAAGGGATTTAGTTCCTCTCTCAGCTTCATTGTTGTATCCCCAGCCATTGCAAAGTGCCTGATTCTTAATCAGGACTCCAGGAATGCCAGTGGAAGTATACTGTTGGATTACTGTTTCACCTTGCTTAAAACAAAAATGCATTCTTTTTCACTTTACATAGGCTGAACTTCAAAAACTGCATGCACCTGTTCTGTGACAACCACCAACAAAATGGGCAAGCTTTTCTCCATACCAAAATACCATCTAGCTATGCAATATAAGTGAATAATCTGGAATATTTAAGGGTAATGATCATAAGATGAATGCCAGGGTCACATTTCAGCCATGCTGGCTGAAAAGAACTATCCCAGTGAGATTTTCCATAACTACACAGCGTATCAGAAGCCTAAATCAAATCTCCCCCAAATCTAAACATGAGAACTGAGGCCCTCTTTAACTGAAATGTGCTGGGCATCAATCACCAAATTACTCTGTTCACTGTTTCTAGTTCAAAATGTTTTGGAGCTGCCAAGAACACTGCAGTAATAATAATAAAACTTTAACTTTACATACTAAGAAAACTATACTTTCTGAAACATTTTTGTACTTAAGTCATTAAGCACATCAGAGAAATAATTAACTGAGAGTTGTATTGCTCCTGCCATAGGACCTTTGGCAATGTCTGGAGACATTTTGGTTGTCACAACTGGGGGCAGGGGTATAGTGGCATGCTACTGGCATCTAGTGGGTAATGGATGGGGATGCTGCAATGCAAGGACAGCCCCCACCACAAAGAAGTACCCTGCCAAAAGGTTATCCTGCATTATAGGATCCCGCATTATAATTATATGAGATGTATATAATTATATACATATATAATTACATAATATATGTAATTATCCAACTATCCTGCATTATAGTAACAACTACATGCAAAATATACATTATGCTGAATGGTGAGGGCACAAAAATCAGTAAGAGATGGCCTTTGTTATTGTGGACAGTCCAGCTAGTGATGGAAACTGACAAGTTACAATGACAACAGGCTAAGTGCTGTGACAGGGGTATTTACAAAAGGCTACTAAGAGCAAATGAAGCAACTACTTCAACCAGAAGGTTGAGGTACTTCACTAGCGGTGACTTTCCAGCTGGAATCTGAAAGATAATTTCATCAAGTAGAAAAGAGTTGTATGTTCTAGCCAGGTGAAATCATGTGTGCAAAAGCAAACAAGTGTCAAACTGAAGGATTCTAGGGTCGCCAGGATTGTGTGCAGGGGCTTCCAAAGCCAGAGATTAACAAGGTACATCTCCCTGAAAAACCAGTCTCATGTGGAAAGATGGAGATGACTAACTTAACAGGTAAAATAATTTTATGGCATTTAAAAAATATTTAAAACACAGGGGTCAGGCGTGGTGGCTCACACCTGTAATCCCAGGACTTTGGGAGGCCGAGGAGAATGGATCACGAGGTCAAGAGATTGAGACCAACCTGGCTAACACAATGAAAACCCATCTCTACTAAAAATACAAAAAATTAGCTGGGCATGGTGGCATGTGCCTGTAGTCCCTGCTACTGGGGAGGCTGAGGCAGAAGAATCTCTTGAATCCGGGAGGCAGAGGTTGCAGTGTGCCAAGATCATGCCACTGCACTCCAGCCTGGGCAACAAAGCAAGACTCCATCTCAAACAAAAACAAAACACAAAAACAAAAACACATAGGTATATGGACTAGAATACAAACTTGGCATTAATTTTTAAGATAACACAGAAGGTGGCTTTGTTAGATTTGTAATGCTATACTAGTTTGGTTGCTCCTACTCTCAAGAGATACTTGGTAAAGTCTGAGAGCAATGGTAAACATTTCAGAATAATTAATTTCATGTGTTTGGAATACAGGATGAGCACAGGAAGAGGCAAGAAGTTAGCTCTAGTGAAAAATAAGGCTGAACAGTGTCATCCTGATGGTCTTATGCTATGGAGTCCTACTTCTTATAGGCTGGGTAGGGGGAATCACTGGGAGATTAGATTATAAACAAGGAACAGGAGAATCAGGTGGCAGGAGAAAAGACATTAGGCAAGAAGATCTGAAATAATTTAGATGATAGGTTATGAAAGGATGAACAAGGCAGTGGCACAGGAGAAAAAGATTTTAGATGGAGAAGTGGTAGAAACCATAGGATAAAACAGAAGAATGAAGGAGAAAAAACTGTTTAGGTCAGGCAACCACATGAGTAAACCATGAGAGCAGACAGCGGAGGGGAAAAGAGATTTTTATGATGGGGTAAGATGATCTCATTTGAACGTCAAGACAACCCTGAGAACTATGTGAAATACGCAGATATCATGATGCCCAGCTTATAGATGAGTTTAACGAGGCTCTGAGAAGTGGATGGACTTGCCCAGGATAACATATCTGGCAAAGCATAACCGAGATTAGAGCCCAGGGCTCTTGGCTCCTGATCTGGATTCTCCCCACTCATGTTGCCTCTCTAGTCATACTTGTAGTTATAACCAAACATGACTATAATGATACAACAGTTTGGACCAAACTTCCGCATGCCTCAGAAACCCTAGATAAAATTGTGAATTGGTAATATCAAGTTAGAGGCTTTGCCCACTTTCAGTAAAATCCCATTTTGACTTCCATGTGAATGCAAGAGAAAATAAATTGTGAATGATGTGAATGATTGAGAAATTAGGGGAAAATTATTGACAGCTTTTCCTAACTTGTTCTTTATCCAGTTCCTCTGTATCACCAGCATAATCAAAATATGCATTTTATAACTTTATATACAACAGGCTTTAACACCTACATACATAGCTACAGGTAGGTATTAAAATGGCCTGCGTGAAAAGTCCTAAACATAGGTCAGAATAATGTCCTATCCTATCTAACTGCCTATATGTGAATGTATGCCTTCTTGATTTTTTTGGAAGCAAAAATATTAATAGCATACTTTTCTTGAGAGGATACAAATTCCAAAACACTCTAAAGGACACACACACACACACACACACACACACACACACATCACCTCTCAATAATAATAGCTGATACTGTTTATATGCATAACTGAATGCCAGGCATTGGGCCAAGCATTTTGCATGATTTCCAAACATTGAATCCTCTTCATATAACTCAGAACCATTACTACTCGGTTTTACTTACTAAAAATAAAGGAGGGGGCTCATAAAGGTAAGGTTATAGAAGCTTGTCAACCAGGACATGAACCCAGCTCTGATTCCAGGATACATGCTCTTAACCAATAGTCTTCCTCCTATCTTCCAGAGACTCTCTTACTCTGGAACAAAGCTCATGGCACAGCAAGTTTCTGCAATAGGTTTCCCATCATTTTCCTGCAAACTTAACAGACATTGTCTTAAATCATGTGTAGCAGCTCAAAAAGGAAATAAGATTTCCATTCAAAGCTTCAAATAATATGTCAATCTGAGTTCAATTCTACAGCAGCCCTAAGCCACTATAAGCAAAATATTATCTCATCAGTAGAAAACAGTAGGGTCCCAGCCCATGAACACAAATGGAAAAAGCAGCCCTTTCCTCCACTGCTCTTCTTTTGATCCTCTCAATCTCATTGTCATGGCTTGTATTCGTTTATGGTACATTCACTAAAAAATGGAGTATCACTTTTTCTCATGATGTATTTTCATGGGGTGAATTCACTACAAAACCTCTACAAATCTGTATGATGTGAAGATCACCTCTCTGCACCAGATAGGCAAAAGGTCCAATAACTCATGCATAGATGGGTTCAGCACGGCTGACTCATTCAACTGACCAAGTAAAACAACAATCTGGAGCATCCACTTTGAAAGGGGATGTCGGGAGTAGCATCTCAACCTGCCACTTAGCCAGCTAGTATGCTTAGGCAGTGACTATAAGTGCTTCTCTAAGCTTCTATTTCTTGATCTATAAAATGGAGACACTGGTCTCTATCTCCAATGAAATACGTGATAAATTAATGGCTGTATATGTGAAATGTTTATTTTTATTTTTTTTTTATTTTAGGGACAGGTTCTTGCTATCTTGCTATATTGCCCAGGCTGGTCTCAAACTCCAGGACTCAAGGATTTCCCTGGCCTTGGCCTCCCAAAGTGCAGGGATTACAGGTGTGAGCCACCATGCCCAGCCCATATACATAAAATGTTTTAATACTTTCTCCTTACCCCAAAAGACTCAATAAATAATAACTTTTTTCTTTTTTTTCTTTCTTTTTTGAGACCCAGGGTCTTGCTCTGTCACCCAGGCTAGAGTACGGTGGCACAATCTTGGCTCACTGCAACCTCCACCTCCCAGGCTCAGGCAATCCTCCTACCTCAGCCTCCCAAGTAGCTGGGACTACAGGCATATGCCACCATGCTCAGCTAATTTTTGTATTCTTTGCAGAGACGAGGTTTCACCATGTTGCCCTCGCTGGTTTTGAACGTCTGAGTTCAAGCAATCAGCCTGCTTTGGCCTCCCAAAGTGCTGGAACTACAGGCATGAGCTACCCTGTACCTGCCCAGTAAGTGGTAACTTCTATGCTACAATCAGAAGCAACATAATCTTTATATTTTTTACACCTCAAATGCAGTGTAAGTCTATAAATATAAGACAGAGAAGACACCTATGGAAGCAGAAGGAACCCTCCTGCTAGGGAGTCTACCAATGGCTTCCTCTGTTTCCCAGATACCACCTGGAGATACTAACCTGGGAGAGAGGGCATTCTTTGGCTAATGTGCTCTGGTTCATCTCTTTGAGCAGCTCCTTTAAGGCATTGCGGACTGTGGCATGGTTCCACTGCTCCGCAGGCAAGTCTTCCAACTTTGAACAACTGCAAAACAGAGCAAGAATGAACAATACACAAACCTCATCCAGGGCCCCTGACTGAAGAGGAGACAGTGAAGCGGTGGTTCTTGGGTCTTGTGTGTACTTCAGAAGAAATGCTGAAGAATGGGGTCTAAGTGAGGGAAGGAAAGTAAAACTGCTTCTCCAAAACTTTGCTGGAGCCCAAGGGATCTCTTTTGTCATCCCACTCATATAAGAAAAATAGTCACTTCCAATACAAGAAATGCTATTTTTATAAAATATTATTTTTGCAATGTGCTGATGGAAATGGCATGGCAGTGTGGTCATAAACTTCCCCAATACAAATGTCATTATTGGGCATGCCTAAGATTAAATAGCAAACATTCCCCATCAAATTTGCGGTTTGAAGGCCCACCCTCACCCCCATAGGATGGCTCAGAGTTTTAACTTTCTGAACCAAAAAATAACTTTTAAGATCCTCACCCATTTATAGACACAGATGGGGGTCCATTCTTAAAGTATAAATCCCCCAATAGGGGAAAATTCGAAACACTTACATTAAAGGACAACATTCCTTAAATCACACCTAGAAGGCACTTTACAATAAAAGACTGCAAAGAACCTCCAGTTCTTTAGAGGTATATCATGTTCTGGGGTGTGTGTGTGTGTGTGTGTGTGTGTGTGTGTGTGTGCGCGCACATGTGATGTGGCCCTTGGAAACAGAAAATAAAGATCTCCAAGAACAAAACTCTCCTCTCGTGTGTGTGTGTGTGTGTGCACACGCGCACGCGCTTGATGTGGCCCTCGGAAAGGGAAAATAAAGGCCTCCAAGAACAAAACTCTCCCCTCATAACACAGACCTGAAAACAGCAAAGGTATTTATTCTTCAAATACTATATGTGCTGCACATTTAAGCAGGCCTAGCGGACCCATTGAATAGGGGCAGTGTGAAGTTCCTCTTAAAGGATATGGATTTTTAATGATTTGTCAAGTTGCCCCTACCTAGGTTACCACTTCACAGCTTCTAAAAACAAAGCATAACACAGTTGGAATGTGACTATAAAGACGCCTGGGGAAGGGTCCTCCTTCCTCTCTCTTCTTCTTTTCATTTTGTCCAATGTCTAGAAATTAATGAAGACAGGACATGCTGATCTTTGCAGTGAATCTATGATTGACAGAGCAGCTCTGAGGGTAAGGAAAGGCAGATGTTCAGAAACACCCACCTTTGTAATTGGATTTTCAACGTCACAACATGATAGACATCTTGTAGCATGTCGGCCACTGTCGCGTCGGGTGCATCTGTCACATAACTGAGGGGGAGAGGGTTCCACCTTCCCAGCTTGATTATTCCTGCACAGGGAAGAAAAACATAATAAACACATATCTGCTATTTATTAAACCTTCCCATTGTTTGTTCAATGTTAAGAAGGTCATTCAATCATCAACGTTCAAGGCCCACTCAGATATTTTACAACCCGGTGCAATAAGCTGTTTCTTTCTGGCTGACAATTGAGTTAGTTAACTATACAGGAAGATGGGAATGAAAGAATGAAGTTTAATCACAGACAATCAGTTCTTTTATGTTTTCCTGTTTCTTAAATTACTTAGAAAACCATACGGATACTTCCTTCCCCCCTAGAATTGTTTCACATTCTAACTTAAGTCTGATGCTAAATATACAGGACTGCTGATTTCATAGACCAAAAAAAAAAAAAGTAAGCCTTAAGTAAATATAAAATTCAGTTTTGAATTGTACAAGAAAATTCCTGTGTGTGGGCTCAGCACGCAGTTACATCCTGACTGTGGTGTGATTCCCAGTGCGAATAGCATTTGGAGCTCATGAAGCAGTTAGAGTTCGCTCCCATATCCGTGTTTCACCAGGCAGTGGGGTTGGTTTCCCAGGCCAAATGCAATACCATGGTCATTGACCACAGATCAGAAATAGCAAAGATGCCCTCAACTTCCTTTTTTTTTTTTTTTTATTTCTCAGCTCTTTTGAGAGTGACAATAGCACTTTTTTGCCTGTGGATTTTGTGCTGCATATGGTAAACATGCATAACAATGAAAAAATAATAAAAATCCTTTTCAAATTTGGACTACGTAAAGCAGTAATTTTAGGAATACCCTTGTTAGAGGAAGATTCATAGGATGGTTTCCGCGACATATGGTAAAAATGCTAACTTATTCATAGATAGGCTCATTTTATGTGGTGCACAGGGCACACATAACATTGATGAAGAAAAACAGAGAAACCCATTTCACATATGATACAGGGTAACAAAAATTTTATTTGTATGCGATGAAAAACCCAACGGTCTCCAGGATGTCAGAAATTGCCACACATAAAAAGCAGTGATGCTTTAGTGATAAAAGAAAAACAGCATTTTAATTTTTATTTTTAACAATACAGGTGAGTCCAACTACAGTATTCTTAAAAAAAAAAAATCATCAAAGAGAGAAAACACCTGTGTACCCAAGTGAACTTTTAAAGCTTCACAAAATGATAGCTATGGGGCAAAATTCCAACAATAGGAAATGAACTCTCTGGTCAGGGTACGTCCTGTCCAAGATGAAATAAATGAATGCGCAATGCTTGACATAATGCTTGAAAACAGGGAATAAACAGAACAAAAATATTAAAATGATACACTGTTTCAGTATTAAGATTTAACAATCTGGTGCTGAATATGCTGCAGTATAAATAGTGCCTGGACTCAGATCCAATAAAGTAACACAGCTCTCATTCATAGTACCGTATGTCTCCAGTTCTGGCTCCTTAAGTCATATCGCACTTGCCAAGAAAAGCTGTTTTCTTGCGGGGATAGTTTTCTTAACATTCTCTCTCATGACAATGAAAAGTGCACAGCACGCAGCATGTACTAGTCATGAAATGAACATCCAGGACCCACTGGACAGCCACCCACGAGAGAGTGGGTCTGCTTCCTTGCTTCTTTTACTCCTGACATTTGCAAATACTAAAAAGAAACCATGTAACATGTCTAACTTATTTCCTTTTTAAAAAATCATTCTACAATTTTAAATTCCTTTCAAAAGTCATTATCGTGATCACCCATAAGTTGAATATAAATTGACTGTGTTCTAAAGGCACACAGATAATATATGAGAGAATGGGCGGGGTGGGGGAAACGAAGTTGATAATTATGCACCATGATAGGCAAGTAAAAGAAGCAGATTTTGTGGGTCATTTTGGTTACCAAGACTATGCAAGTAATATAAAAAAAAGAACTCTACAAACTTCAATGCACAACTCTACAGGAGATTCATTCAAGCTGTTGTAGTGTCAGTAGTTGATTCCTTTTTATTGTAAAGAAGCATTCCATTGTAAGAATACACCACACTGCAGCCAGACACAACAGAATATATCTGTATGATTTCATTTATATGAAATACAAGAACAGGAAAGACTAATCTAATAGGGATAGAAGTCAGAGGGACAGAAAGGGGCATTGCATAGACAGGGACATAAGGGGATTTTCTTGTTTGGCATGGTGGTTGCATGGTTATACAAATTGTCAAAATTTATCAGACTAATCACTTACTATGCATACATTTTTGTATGTAAATTATACCTCAATGTTTTAGAGAGGGGAGGGAGAGAAATTTCTATAGGAAAACATAGACAACTCATTCTACTGGAAATAGAATCTCCATGTAGGTAAATTATTACCACACCTTGCTGAGCCGGAAGAAGACTTGTTTGGGCTGGAATTAGACATACACAGGTGTTTTCACAATACTTAATACCTCCACATAGAGCAGCTGCTACAGGTTGGTTTCTACATTTTGGAAGAGAGCTGTTGGCACAGGTTATTTTCCCAGGCAATGGGAAATGTATGCTTTTTCTTTTTTGTACCCTATTAACTAACTTGCTCAGTCCAAGCAGTCATGGTCTCTGCCCAGCTATTTACCAGGGTCTGCACGTACAAGATCTGTTAGGAGAGCTATGGCCAGAAGGCCACTCTGCTCCAGCCCGGTAGGGGCTTAGAGTAACTCTTAATGAGCCTTTCCTCCAAACAGGTTCTCTGTCTAATGTATTGTATTAATCCTCTTTGGAAACACATTCCTTAGAACAGTCCTCCTTCCCTGATACAAAATAGACAAAAATATTACTTGGAATAGTAGTTAAGTGTTAATTGAGGAAATCAAATTGGGAAGCAGTATACCATAGTGACTAAGAATGCAGGCTTCCAAGTTAAATTGCCTCTGTTCACATCCTGGCTCTGCCACCTACTAATTATGTAACCCCAGCAAGTTACTTAAAATTCTCCATACCTCAATCCTCTCATCTGTAAACTGGAACAATAAAAGTACTGATCTTACAAGAATATTGTGCAGATTAAATGCAAAAGAATTAGTAAAAAGCCTGAATATAATTTAATCTCAAAAACTGTTTAGTCATTACTGTGACTTGTTTAATGTGTCTGAAAGAATAGTCAGTTTATTTCAAAATATGTCGACACAAAAGATTTTTTATGATTATATTAGCTTTCAATCATATGTCTACAAAAGGCTTGTTTTTAATCACAAAGGAGGAGTATACATCGATATGTCCCATCTTCTATTCCCACCACTTCCCCATTAATTTCTTCCATCCTTGCTCCTCAGTGGCTTCTTTATAAGTAGATTCAGATCTCCTCTACTTTTCTTTTCTTTCTATTTTTTTTTTTTTTTGACACAGGGTCTGGCTCTGTCATCCAAGCTGAAGTGTAGCAGTGACATCTCAGCTCATTGAAACCTCTGCCTCCCACACTCAAGCCAACCTCCCACCTCAGCCTCTCAAGTAGCTGGGACTACAGGTATGTGCCACTATGCCTGGCTAATTTTTGTACTTTTATAGAGACAGGGTTTCACCATGTTGGCCAGCCCGGTCTCGAACTCCTAGGCTCAAGCAATCTGCCCACCTCAGCCTCCCAAAGTGCTGGGATTACAGGCATGAGCCATTGCACCCAGTCCTCTCCTACTTTAAAAGAAATAAAAACACGATGACATTCTCTCTGTTCCTTCCATCTCCTATTTTCTGTACCACTAAACCTACTTTAGATGTACCTCCAATTTCTCCATCAGTTCTTTACCCATGGATATCTAGTTTCAACTCCCTCTGTGAGGAACTAGAGATTCAGAAGGGATGGGTTATCTTAAGTAGTCAAAGTAATATTACTAGCAAGTAGCAGAGCTCAGATTCACTTCAAAGACCAGGCTCTCTCTCTTCTTGTTATCACACTGGCTCAAATGAGAGGCAAACTAGAAGAAAAGACAGGTTCCAAGTTTCAAAAGGCCATAGATGCCTGAATCAGTAGCACACTGTATAGGACAGAGGTTAGGAGTAAGGTCTGGAGTCAAAAGTCTGAGTTTACGTCCACCTTCCTCTGCTTGTGAGACTTTGGGAAAACTGTTTAGTCTCTCCATGTGTCCATTTCTGTATCTGTAAAATGGGGATAAAAACAATGCCTACCCTTTAGGGTTATCATGAGATTTTGCATGAAAAGGAGACTTTAGCACTGGGACTGCTACATAATAAGTGCTCCATAAAAGTTAAATTCCATGGAGAACCAGAAGTAATTCAGATTTTGGATTTTTTCAGATTTTGAAGTAGTTCCATTATACCTACTAGATGAGCATCCCAAATCCAAAAATCCAAAATCTGAAATGCTCCAATGATCATTTCCTTTGAGTTTCATGTTGGTACTCAAAAGATCTCAGATTTTTAAACATTTCAGATTTTGGATTTGCAGATTTGAGATGCTCAACCTGTACTGGACTGAAGATGGATTAAAAAGGGCAAGGATTCCAAGGGGAGAAAAAAGAGCTAAAATAATTCAGGGAGGTATGTCTAGTTACAACTATAACAGCCTCTTCCTGGCTTCTAAGAAGGATGCAGACACCATTAATCACTCCAGTGTAGTGAACAAGGAGAAAGAAGAAAGAACAAGTCATGTGACCATTGGGATAATACTGCAGTACTAGAGAAATGCCAATAATAATGGCATAACTTAAGTACACAGATGTTATTCCCAACATTCACGTTCTATGAGTAAGTTTTATAACTACAATCTGAAAAAATAAAAAAACTAGTGATGATTACATTAGGAAATATTTCATACATGTGCATATGCACATGCACACAGACACCCTTGAGTTCAGCCAGACACATAGTAGATGCTCAATGCATGGCAATTTCTATTTTTCTTCTGAAAATTTATCACACTCTCACTCCGTCTACAGAGTACTGATCCCCAATATTCACTTCTAGAAACTGTCTATATTATTCTTGAAATTCTGCCATGGGAATAATTCCAATCCTGATAACCCAACTGAAGTAATCCTTTCTC